TCACACATTTAATCTACTATGTTGTCTATTGAAAACGATTGGACAAATTTAGGTCAATATTTTTTGAATTCAGCATACATAGTACCTCAAATCGGTGTTTCAAAAGTATAGTAATACAAATACATCACACGTAAATTTTGTTGGCAACTACGTCTGATTATGAATTCCACACGATAAAACTGATCAAACCATGTACCCACGCATCTTCACACCGATGAATGCATTCATTAATGGCATTTTAAGAAGCATCACGAGTAAGCCCATTGTCTCTATCTATCTATAAAATCCCAATGTTGGCGCCTTGCCGTCATCCACACATATTTCCCCATGTCGCACGTGTTGCCTTTCATATTAGAGCATTGACTTTGCTTGCACCCATCCCCCTCCTCAGTCGCATTGGACCAAAAAGATGCTGAGAAGCCTTGTCATTGTGCGCACCTAGCTTCTATGGTGGAGGCACCACATTGTGAGGGCACAACCAACATCGACCTCTGCGGTTTCGGCCACAACAAGCCCAGCCTCCTCCACCACGAGCACATACTCCATCTACCCTAACCCTGATGAGCTGGCGGAGGCGGAGGCCAAGATGATTGTCGAAGATGTCATAATGAAGGCCATGGAGTCGGCTAAGCCACCCCTCCTACTGGCCCGACCACTGACGCAACACCTTCTAGCCTCCAAATCCCCATCCCCTCCTCCAAGTTCCCTTCTTCATCACCCTGGTCCACCACATATTGTTGGGAGACTGAATAAGCATATGGCCGCAGAGAGGCAGATGGCCACCACATGTGCAGCAAGGTCATGGTCTCCGCCTTATATGTCTCTGATGTATCTAAAGTTCTTGTCATGTTCATACTACTTCTATATCATTTATACATATTTTGGACACTTCTTATACTGTTATACTTGACTACCTATGAATCCAGAGCAAACTTCAATTGTTTTTGCTTGTTTTTAGAAAATACGATTTGTTGTTTTCCTCAAACAGAAAAGGTCATACAATAATCACTACAAGAAATCTATTAATCCATGACGGATTTCTGGTGACGTTCCTTTAAACCGTCATGAAAACCGTCACGGGTGGGGAAGAGGCGAACGACTGCCAGAACGGTAGCTACTTTATGATGGATGTCATGGAACCGTCACGAAAACTGTCATGGATTAACTAGCTAGGCCGCGCCTTTTCCTTTGTTTATACACCATCCACACGGTCACGGGTGGCTTTTGCTAATGTGTCGTACGTGTTTTTTATTTGGCCACATATTAGTGAGATGATTATATGTATATGTAAAAATAAAAGAAAAGGAAGGGCGCGCTTGAAATTTGAGGGCGCGACGAGGGCGCGCGCGAGGAAAGGAGGGAGGGCGCGCCTAGAATTCCATAGCACGCGGTGGTAAAAATTTAGAGCCCACTAAAGCCCATCCGAACCATTCACCATATAAGACCTAACCCTAGGTCTCTGCCTGTCTTCCCCAATCTCTTTCTCCCTCCGCCACCGCCGCCACCCCATCATCCCCATCCCCGATCCCCCTCCTCTCCCTCCACTGCATCCTCTCCATCCGGCGCCCCTCCTTTCACCACCCCCCGGCTGCGTCCTCTCTCCGCCCCGTCTCTCCCGTACCTCCTCCACTCCCACTCCCGGTGGCACCTCTTCCTCCTCCACCCTATGCTCTACCTTTCCTGCTGGCCCCACACTCCTCCACCCCCTGCTGCATAACGATGGCTGATCCGTAGCATGTGTGATGTGTTGTAGATCACGCGAGTTCGATGGCGGCAGCAACCTATGAGCAATGACAGCGGCATCTTGGGTGTGCTAGATCCGGCATGGATCTCAACCCGACACTCTGCTTGTTGCAGCAGAGCGTCTATGCGGTGGCCGGTCTACCGCGAGTCCGCGACAACTCACTAGAGGTGGCGGCGAACCCAGTGTCCACTTGTTGCTGGCTCGACGCGTTGAACTGGAGGTCGATGAACACGCTCAACAAAGTAAGGATCAGGGCAGCTGCGGTGAGTGCACAGAACAGCAGATACGCAGCGTGAGTTTTACCCCTTTCCACACCCACTTGTTAATTTGTTCTGCTATGGCCGATGTGTCTACAGACGCTGGACCTAAATATAGAATTTGCTACTTTTATATTCCTGGATTTTTTTGCACGCATGGTTACTGTTAGTATAACACGAAGCGTTCTGATGTTTATATGGTAACATGCATTGTTAATTGATGTACAGCGCACTGGTGTTTGGTTGGGTGTGGAATGAAAGAAACATGACAGATGTGTGTTTGAATAAGTAATGTTAAAAGGTGTTCTGCAAAAAAGATTTAGACCATAAACTGAAGTTGCTGGATATATCTGTGTATACAGAAGCTTCTCGTGTATACATGCTGATGCTATCTAGCTGTTTTATATATTAGTGATGTACTTGATTGTGCAAAAATTTACATCGTAAATGTGTGTTTGATTTATTGTCAACTGGTGCTAGTTGGCCATCATGCTAGTCATCCATTCTCTGTAATTTTTTTACAGACTCTTATTGTGACGTTTGTTCTTAAAAACCTACCATACATGGGCCTTGTTAAGTATATATAAATATATATATGTTCATCGACATCATCAGTGAGCAATCATTTTGCCCTAGAAACAACGAGCATGTTTGAGTATTTTATGTTCAATTGTGTATGAATGGTTTTTTCTGTGCTGTCTTTGGCTATACTTCAATTTATACTCAAAATGATAGGGCTAGGGCATACTTTTCTCTTTCTCTTACTAAGTAAATTGTTGTGTTAATTGATATGTTGAATGGTACTTATGCTGTGCATATTTCAATGGGTTGTGAATTTAAAGTCAATATGAATGTAGTGCATATGTGAATTTTTTCATTGTAGTTGAGTATGAGGTTTCTGAAATTTGCTTAAGGGCCATTCTGCCAAGTCCATCATGAAGAAAGGAAAGGTAATGCACGGACACCCACTGTACCTCGTTCCTTAGTTCAGTTTGTATGGACATTGTGGACTGATTTATGTCCTCAACGGCTGCTGCTGTTGTACTTGGATTTCTGTGATGTGCATTTTGTTGCTTTTCTTACTATACGCCAACTTGACAGCATGTAATTCATTTTTTATGTTTGTTCTAATTCTCTTATTTCTACTACTATCTATTCACTATCTACAAATATCTAATGTTGTAAATGTGCTGATATGATTAGGCCGTGGGCTACTAGTTGCCACAAGTTTTATTTATCGTGATACTAGTTGCCACTAGTTGTTTCTTTTTCACGTTGGATCAAATTTGTTGCACTACTTTGCATCTTGGGAGTGAAAAATATATATGATTTGATGGCGTATAGTATGCTACTTCTAGTTCACCTACTGGTTATAATATTTTTAAAAGTGACAAATTTTCATCATGTGGCAGATATTGATTTTTGGGAGCATTTTCAACAGCAGACATGTGTTCTGACGACTTTGACATGGACGGGTGGATCTGCGACAAGATGGCTATAGATTAGCATAGTGTTCTTCGAGACATGCTTGTAAAATTTACCTTTTGTGTCTTTTTTTGCTCATGTCGAGTTGTATTTTTGGCTGTGTATGTAATTTTCATTTTTTAATGACCTGCCTATATATTTTCTGTCAATTTTTTTGAGAATCTGTCAAATTGTTATTGGCTTAAAATTTCCATGGATGACAAATGAGAGATGGGCCAGTGTTTTGGATCAAAAATAGTGGGCCTTAACTGATATTAATTGGTGTAAATTCTATTCGGGTTCATTATTACTATATGGGCTGTCGCTCGTGGACCTGGCTGAAATTTAATGGGCCAAAAAAATTAAATGGCTGATTACTACATGGGCCGCCACGTAAGATGTTGACGTGGTAGAAAATCTAACGACGTTCTGAGCATGTCCGTTAAGTGCCATCCATGACAGCCAAGATCTGTCATGGAGTGTACAGTGGTTAAATTATGACGCGATATACATGACGGATTTGAAATTCGTCACAGCTGCCCTTCCACGACAATTCTTCACAGGTCTGTGACGGACTGAATCCGTCATGGATTAACAAGATTCTTGTTGTGAATACATTGTTGCTTTACATCACCAGGATGTCGTCGCGAGGGGCCAGAGGAGTGCCTGGGTGGAAGTCCCAGGCCTCCACGCAGCTAACCCACACAATCAAACCCCTGACCGCGACACCTGGATACATGGGCTCGACAACCTCCGCTCTGTCACCTCTTTGCCCTCGGCTCTATACGACCTTAAAAACTCTATACGACCTTAAAAACTCTAGTCATATTTATCGAGGAATTTTGCCGCCTCGAATGGACACATTCTGAGGCGGTCCAATTTGGAGGCCTTTTTCAATACTCCGTTGGAGAGGGAATTGCTGTTGGAGCCATCTTCATCAACCTTGCCGCTCTGTGAGTTCTAAACCCTAGTCACACTATGTGAAAACATATTGAATTGCAAACCAACACATACTTTCCACCTTAATAAACAAACCATGTGGGATAGATGCCACCAACGCACACATTTCCTCGTAATTAACCGTTAATCCCTGCCTCACACATGAATGTGCCTTTCACATCGTGTGATACGGGAGCCAACAAACACCCATTTTTTCCTTGTTACTAATCAATGTGGGATGGATTCAGTCGCAAAAAAATGTGGGATGGATTCCCTGTCACACACGTTTGATCGGCGCCAATTGTGTGCAATAGAGACTTTCCAAAGAGACTGTGTGTGGTGGACCACACCATCGTACATGTCTTCTGCGATGGTGTATTACCCCTCGACGCACGTTGACGGCTGGACAATCCATATGCAATGGGGTTCTGAACCGCATGCAATGATTGGATGTACACTAGCGCAGTGTTGAATTTTCTGAGCATGGGGGGCTTGCTGTGGCCGTATCGTTGGTCCAAACAAGGCCAACATTTTATTGTTGGGCGCACGATCCTTGTCTCCGAGTGGTTGACCTGGCCTATCAAGTCTTAATTAGCTTATATGGAATTGCATCGATTGGGACAGAGCATGAACCCTGATGGAGTGTAAACATACCCCTTCAGAATAGGAGCACTGCGGACGTGGAGCACCGGAGATGTACAGAAATGGTTTAGGTATACTTTCTAGGATAGACAAGATAAGTCTATGGGTTAATACAGATGGGGCCAGTTGGTTGGCGGTGATCAGCAATGGCGAATCCACATACAGCGTTGATCATAATGGATCAACGACGAGTTGATAGCGATTATATATACTCCCTTTGTTTCTAAATAAATGATTCAACATTATACTAACTTTGTAGGAAGTATTTTTTTTTAGAAAAGGAGGATGACCCCCGGCCTCTGCATCTGGGAGATGCATACGGCCACTTTATTGATTATTCTCGAGGACCTTACAAAGTGTTATAACAATAAGCCTGAATCCACCATCTAGGCAACATATGCCGCTACTCCTATCCAAATGATGAAGGGGTGCTAGATGGGCCACTACCCAGACCACTCACCTAATCCTAACATCGAAAGCCGGAATCCCCAGCCTAGCCACATACCGGGTCTGGGGCATAAACCGGTCTGACGCACTCATATGTGACGTCTCCACCATCTTTCACTGGTCCATCTCCAAGCAGATTAAGGTGCTCCAAGCAGATTGAGGTGCCAACTTTATAGGGAGTATATTGCTCGGTCACTAAGTTACATGCACCACGATCAGTATCTGTCGACAAAGGTGCGCACCAACATTTAACTTCAATTATTAAATAGCCACAAGTTACATGCATCATCCGTCTCTAATATAGGGTGCAGTAGAAGTCTCTGAAACATACTGAACGGTAACAGCAACAATAGAGATGTCACAAATCCAATCACAAATGCCGGCAACGAGACGGTATCATACTTCAGGCAGCATACTTGACAGCGATGTGAGCGAGGCAGCGCGCCAGCTCGGTCGGCGTCGAGAGCAACGCCATGTGGTCCGCGCCGTCGATTTCCATCACCTCATCCACGGGGTAGTTGTGCACCATCCACCGCTGGAACGCCTCGACAATGGCGTGGTCGTCCTTGAAGACGATGTACGCCTTGCGCACCGACCCGTAGCGGGCCTCGGTGTGCGGCGGCTGCAGTCTCAGGTCGTCCACGAACATGGAGCTGACCCTCATCAGGGATCGTCCCAGCGTCAGGTCCTGCCATATGGTTCCAACATTCATGCAGCGTTAGAAGTCCCTCTTTCGTCAATCTAATCTCAGTGTTTCATCGATTTTATGTGCAGGTAATCACAGAGCGACAAGTGCGGCGGATGCTGTACCTCCGGCGAGCACAGCTGGAAGAACTTTGCACGAGTGACCAGCGGCCCGAACAGCATGGAAGTGGGCAGCTTGCCCTCGGGATCTTGAGGCTTAAACTCCGTGTCCATCCAGTCCAGCGTTCTCCCCTCCACGAACTTTCAAGAGGAAACTAATTAGATCGCGAGCAAACAATCAGGAGTACAGGGGTTTTCTGTTTGAAGAAATACTGCCATCCCATGCTCATGGTGTACCTTTTCAAGCACGTACGACGGCGGCGACCTGTGGTCCGGCATGAAGGCGGCGACGAACACCGCAGCGGCGATCTTCTCCGGGAACAGCTCGCAGGCGAGGGCGATGTTCACGCCGCCGAGGCTGTGGCCGACGAGGACCACCTTCTCGCCCGGCGGGAGGGACTCCAGGAGGTCCAGCAGCGGCTTGGTGTAGTCGCGGAACGTCGGCACCTCGCGCAGCGGCCTGGGGTCGACGCCGGACGCCGCGAGGTCAGGCGTGCTGACGCGGTGCCCGGCCGACCTGAGCCGCGTCGCCACCTTGAACCAGGACCAGCCGCCGAGGCATGCGCCGTGCACCAGGACGATGTGCGCGCTGCTAGCTTGGCCCGCACAAGCCTCCATGTGCATGGGTGGGGTTTTGTGACTGTTTTTCTGTGCTTGAGCTATAGCTGTGGCTCCGATGTCTACACAGCGGGACGCTCTGGGATATATTTATATATCCGCTAGCTCTCGAAGATTTTGCTTGGCAAACTGACATCGACCGGAGGAGCCAAATGTGAGGAGTTTATGGAGCTTATTAGCTACTGCCTCTGTCCTATAATATAAGAACATTTTTGACACTATATTAGTGGAAAAGTGTTCTTATATTATGAGACGGAGGGAGTACTAGCTAGCGAGGATAAGCTTGAATAATCATGTATGTGAAGTCAAAGGCAAATGAAGCGAGAGGCGGTCCTATTTTTATAAACTACTACATAGAAGAGATCTTATATATGGAAAGTACATTGGAAGAGATCTTATTTTTAAACCAATGCATTTCCTAGTTGCTTGTATTCATTTAGTGTTTTGTCGAAATGAATCATAAAGCACTTATGAATCATGAGTGTTAGCTAATTGCCCGTGGGTTGCAACGGATGCATACATATTCTAGTGATTCAATACTAATTATATCTTAAATATAAATTACATCCATTATATTCTAGATTTTGGTAAGATTTAACTTGATTTGAGTATGGGTAGAGAATGCAAAGGAAGTGTTGATTTTGTTAAGTTTTAGGTAAGATTTGATTTGATTTGGGTATTCGTAGGGGGGGAAGGTAAGTTTCAATTTAGTTGAGATTTCGGGAAGATTTGATTTTATTTGTTTGAGTTAATGCAGGATGTGATTTTGATAAAATATCGATTTGGTTTAGATTATTTCAAGATACTCTATTTATGTTGGTTTTAATTTTATGCGGCATCGGTTGAGAGTACCATAAGGTCAGTAGAAAACCAAGGAGGGAGGGACGTGTGGGGACGGAAAACCTGAGGAAGGAGGGGAAGCGCCGGAACCAACTCCCATATAATAGTAGAGATAAAGTAGCATCTATCAGCCTCACATGTAGAATGCATACATGAGTCGGCTCAACCAAAAGCTTAAGTTGAGTTGGAGCATCTCCAACAGGTGCACAGAAGTTCCACGCACCAAAATAGTTTTAGCATGCAACTGTAGCATTATTAGAGCGCCAGACCCAACATTGGTTGAGCAAATGCCCAAAAACGCGTGCCCAAAAAACACACAGTGCAAATTGTGAAGCGCGCGCAATTCGGTTGCAGCTTCTGATAGCGCTTTTTAACGCGTGCCAATCTTTTTTGCGCGCGCACTATTTTACAGCTTCTGCTGGAGCTGTCCGGCGCCCCAAGAAGCCGAATTTTAGCGCGCAGCGTAGTTTTTGTGCGCCAGTTGGAGATGCTCTTACACACTTATACTTTGACATTCACCTTTAAGTGTGGCTCCCTCAGACAAATGTAGATAAAAAATGAGCTAACATTTTCTTTGTCTAAATTGGCCTAATGGCTCTGATACAATGTAGAAGTGTCTGCACCAATCATTTCATACAAAACCTGATGCTGATAGAGAAAGGAGGGTTCCACACTTATACTCCAACATCCGATGATGGAGAGGTTGCAGTGGCGCACCATCGGCCCGTGAGAGAGAGAGAGAGAGAAAACGGTCGGCCCTAAGATTTTGATGTAACATCTTTATTTTTCAAGGGCATTTGTACTGATGGTTTGATTAATAGAACAACATGAATTTTTGCCAATAAAATATTATAACATTTGTATTTTCATGTAATTTATCATTTATAAATTGATGGTCACAAACTATACTACGAACAATCCACTTTTAGTAATTATTTGGAGTTCTGCTTTTAGGATTCAGTGCCTTCTATTTTGCGACTTTGAAATGTTTAGTGTGTATGATCCATCTACAAAATTTACATGTAGCAATATTACATCAATTGTTTTTTCTTTAGAAGATATTCTCACTAATAAATACTTAGTTCAATAGCAAACTAGGTGAAATACCACATGTTGTTGTGGGAATATTTTCCAATTTATGTAAATGGGATTTGGTCATATGAAACATGATTATTTGAAGTAATAATATGAGAACGAAAACTGAGAATACATATGAATGTGTTTGATTATTGTATAGTTATAACATTTATTAAATACAAAATCACAATATAATGGAAATTTTCATGCATGTTTGTATGTTGAGGTGACTTTTTCTTACGCATAGTTGCATGTTGAGATAGACTTTTTCCATGTATGTTGAATGTTGAGGTGGCATACTTACATGTTGAGAAAAATATGTTACTAGGGCTAGTTATTTAGATGTAGCTGATGCAACATTCCAACAAAAAAATATACACTAGCATCCTCGTAATTTACTATGTAGTAGTTAATTTTGTTCGCTCTGTAGTGGTAACTAATATTATTCCGCTACTGAATGGGTTCTTCTTGATAAGATATTCTTATCCCTTTTGCATTGCACAAATCATAAAAAGGGATTATATGGTTATTAGTAATTACCTAATTAGAAATTGTTCTTCCGAGTTGCCTAAGAGACCACAAAACATTTTCTTTTTTTACAATAAACCAAGATTTAAAATAGTGGGCTATGGCAAATCATGGTAGCCGTCTGAATCAACTAAATGGCGCTATAACGGCTAAAACTGTTATACTCTGCTATTTTTTCCATGCAATCATCCAAGTTATTTATATAAAAAGGAACGTTTGTGTAAGACAATAAAATCAAGTAAACCAGTTGCACATTTGTAAACCTAACTAAAACACATACTATTTCTAACACGATTATTGTTCATTTGATACTATGGAATCCTAGTCGATTGTGAATCAACTCTCTGAAAGTTTACTAGTATATGTTACCCCCTCCGTAAAAAAATATAATAGCTAGGGAGTATGTTTCACAACAAGGCACACCCAAATCTGCAAAAATCACAGTGAGAAATTCTACAGAGCTAACATCGTCAATACAGCGCGATGTGCACATGTGTAAAGGTTTGATGGAAGTCGAATTATTGTGGAAATCTGGGAGATGGTGACGGCAGGATTAATCAAAGACAATCGGTATTAACTATGCACCGGGGCCACTATAAAACTCTGCTCTAGAGACAACTGACCGTGCAAGTTGCGAACAACAGAGAGTGTCAACAACAAATGATCTTGTTTCCTTTCTTTACCGTGAAAGATATGGAGTATATTGTTTACATGCGAACCAAACAGAGTACTCCGCGTTCCAAGTGAATCAATAGATCAATCAACAAGACATACCATGGTGCTCGGGATTGATCTCAACTGTGAAGTTAATTACATTAGCTCGTGCCTTTCGCCGAGGAAAACAAGCTGGAGATCCAAGATATGGAGGATATTAGCTCGTTCCAAGTGATGGTGAAAGGTAACCCCCAGAGAAAATGAAGATGTCAACGGCTGTTCTGGGCACTAAAAGTAGAGCATGTCCGCTCATCATGGGTAAGATTTTGAATTCTTTTATGCTTCTCCCGAAGACTACAGTTGGCATCCATGATGGTGCAGCGATGTCAAGATTTAAAATACGGCGCTCGTTCAGAGCGTGTAGGTTAAAGAACTGGAGCCTCCAGGTAGGCACCAATTTCTATACTGCAACTGGTTCTTCTCGTGGAACAAGTTACATGAATGTACAGCACACCCCAGCTCTCATAAAATGGATCAGATACATGATGAGAACAGGTATAAAAAATAATCTTTGAACATTCCAGACAATTTAGGAGTTGATGCTCCTCAAAAGAAAACTTACCTCAAACCATTCAAGAACAACTACAGATGTATCCACATTTGGTGGATCAACCATAATACTCTTCCGTAAAGAACTCTGCCATTGCCGACCCGCAGAACTTATTATGGCATCTTCAAAGGCGACCCACAAACCGCCCCGCATCCGCGGACCGGGATGTGTTGTGCCATCCAAGATCCAACGCGGGCCATTGGACGGTCCAGACGTGTTTTCTCCCGTAAACCGAAGATAAACACGGGGGGCTTTGCGGGAGTCCGGACATGCGAAACGTCACTCTCTGCCCCCTTGGCCCACCTAAAAGGAAGGTGGAGCCCGCGCTTTTGTAGCATCCCGCGTTGTTTTCGCGTCAAAATCCCCCACTTTTTTCTTCCATCCCGCCGCTCTCCGCCCAATTCTCGCTCTTTTCTCCCACCCTCTCCTTCCTTCTGCCGCCGACACATGGAGCCGTTGGAGAACCTGCCGGAGATGGAGCCGGTGGAGGTGCCGGAGGATCTGAGAATCGCGCTCGCCCGGAAGATCAGCTCGACGATGTTGCAAACTTGCCGCGTCAAATCGAAGGCCGCAAACGAGGAGAAGCTAAATAAGCGGCCGACCTCCGATGGGCCTGGTGGTGGTGTTGGGCGTGGAGATCGTGGCTAACGGGGCGTTCATGGTGGCCATGGCGGGCGCTGCTAGGCGGGCGTGCCCACAGTACATACGGCGCCGTGGCCGGAGCCTTACAAGCCTCTGTACTACTACGCCGCCAAGAAACTCGGAACCCCCGCCAGTACGATGCCTTACATCGTCGACGTAAACGCGGCGCCACTCTTCTCCGAGTATTCTTCGCCGCAGCTTGTTCGGGTGCGGACGGCAGGAGGGGAGCAGACGTGTGCCCGCACGCTGTTTGTTGCAATGCCTAGATCGGGAAGGCGGCGTATGACGACCCAGACAGGGAGATGCTCGACATCATCCATGACGGAGAAGAAGGAGGCCATGGCGACGAGCTGGTGGAATACACGGATCACACCCAGTCCTTCAACTACCAGCAGCAACAGTCCTACACCCAGACGACCACGCATCAATCCTACACCCAGACCACCGATGGCACACAACAACAACAACATTGGGCCACCGGACAGCAGGATCCAGAGGAGGAGGAGGAGAAGGAGGAGGACGGCGAGGACGATGATCCGAAGAAGGGTAGAGGATAAATCTTCATCATGCGGGAGGATGAGATATTGTGCCACTGGTGCAGAGACGTGCTATACAAACGGTGTTACCCCCTTTTCGCGCGGAGTTTTAA